CTACTCCCTCCCCAGGTGTTCGCCGGGGGCGCCCCGCCCCGCGCCGCAGCCAGGTACTTCCTGCCGCCGCGCTGAGGAGCGCTGGAAGGGCGGTGGGCGGGGAGAGTGCGAAGCTGGTGGCTGAGCACCCGGGTGGCTACGGAGAAGGGCTGAAGATACCGAGACTTCCTTTTACCGGAGAGAACGACCCTGAAACCTTGAGAAAGGGGGCGAAGCGAGTGGAGATTAGGAGGAGGAGCCCGAAGTGGACTGCAAGGAGAGAACCATCCCAACTGCCATAAAAAAGACGACCTTCGAGCTTTACCTGCAGTTAATTGTTACTCCTTCGATACTAAAAAACAAAACTCTCCCACTCGAGGGATGACACATTCGTGTGTTCTTTATAATTATTCTCAATAATTCTTTAACCCCCGTTTTATAACACTTTTAACGGTTGTAAGGAAGGAGATTCCCGCACAGCTCCAAATGCTGTGGGAATATCAGGGAATAATGTTGAGTCTTCGAAAAAACAGGGACGTAAAAGTGATTTTTTTCAGTGTAAATGAATCCAAACTACAGCACGTTATTATTACAATCTAAAGATATTTGTAATGACTTGAAGTTTATATCCTTAAACCATTAAAGTATTCATTGTTTTAAAGCTATATTTGTTAACTATAATAACATTAAAATCTGTTTTTAAAGGCTTTTTTTCTATCTAAGAAATCAGAATTCAAAAGAGGAAAGGTGCAAGGCAATTTTAAGATTCACTAAATTTGCCTAATTTTTATATGTATATATCCTCAAAAAACATACTTTCATTGAGCATAATTTAACTGTTGTGCTATCCTGTTGCAAGTTGATTAATGTGAATATGTACATTGTCCCAATAAGCCCCTGTATAATTTGAATTTTGCATTATATAATCTATTTAACTCTGATTATTGACATGTTAAGGATATCCTGTCAGTGTTTTAAATTTGTACATAGGAGTTTTGGAACTTTGTCATCAATTCAACAATTTAAGTGAAAAAGAATAGTACTGTGAAATCAGGAACAAGTTATCAACCAGATCTTTATTTTCTTCTGAATTTGGGATGTTTTCCATACACACAATGTCAACCCCCAAGCTACACATACTTTTTCCAGGAATAATCTAACTGGTTATTGTGGTTTAATTTGCAAACTGTTCCATTGCGAGGTTAAATCTGTTACTTAATCAAGAAGAACCTCATCTTATAACTTAACAGCTGTTTATTACATTGCTCATTGCAATCAAGAGACTTGGGTAAACATGTTTATTAAATCCATGACAAAATACCGCACTAACCTCTGACTCATAGTATCTAAGTATACATCCAAGACAATTGTTTATTTTTATACCCCTTTAACAGCTTCTCAATTTGTCCCTCATTGCTCGAAATTACTCTCATTTTATGCTATGTGAATCTTTGTGGTTCCAGTGCTCTAATTAAGGAGAGTCCTTAATATTTTTGTAAGACTTCATACCCGCATATAATCCTAAAATTATCAAATTTTGCAGTATAGATGTTGGTTTTTAATTTTGAAAGAAGTTTGATAGGTAATATTTGGCTAAGGAAGAAGTATGGTAAGAGTAAAAACTGCACACTTTTTTGACCAAACTCCTGCAATCCATCCAACCATTATAAACCTGGCTAAAAAGCCAGCATCAAACTCAAAGAATAGACGAAAAGAAAGAGAAAGCAGGTAAGGAAAGATGTTATGGGTAATGCTATCAAGATTACCTGATAGAACAGAGATTTTGGAGGGTTGCTGCTAAATCAGTGATAACATGTTTAATACGAACAGTATTGGAGAAGCTAGCATCATACTCCCTAAAAAGAAACAATAGGACTGTTATTCAATACAGTTACTCAGTTAATATCTAATAGTATAGTTTCCTCACACAGAACTGAGAGAGG